AGAGTTGTTTGACTTCGCCCATGAGCCTGCTGGGTGCCAGTGGCACAGCCTAAATCTCTCAGTCCCAGTTCAGCTGCAGGTCTGGAACGGTCTGGCCCCTGCAAGCACTGACAGTAGTTATTATGCAGCTTTCCAAAGGGATATGTGAGTGGCACGAAGATTGTTGCTACTGGCATTGTCCTTGGAGCCCTTCCGTGCCAGGAAATACACACAAAACATCTTCACCGGCCGGTTTAACCAGGATGATGAGCATCCAGGTCTGAGCACTCAAGCTAGCCTTGTCTCACTGTGACCACAGCAGGAGCTGTGTAACTGTGTCCTCTCCGTTTCTGCACTTGCCTCTGTGTGTCTGTGACGTGTCCGGTAACTCTCTATGCCAAGATGCTTAGGGCTCTTTCCCACAACTGCTGGTTTGCCCTTCAGGGGGAACTGTGGGAAAGACACTGGAAGATTGCCGGCACTTAAGTGATCTTTGACCATATCTTCATTAGGGAGTAAGGAGGTTTGAAATAGCCCCGGTTGGGAAAAAAAAAAAAAAAGTAGTCCAACCTTTCTCTTCCAGCTGTGTAAGCTTGCACTAATGGTTTGCATTTGGTAACTTGCGGTTCTGGGTTTTGTACCAAGGAAGCAAGGAGCAGTGACTGTAACTCGGGTTAGTGATGCAGTGGGCACCCACTCCTAGAAAGTGCCCCCGCCCTGGCCAACTTCCAACAGCGTGTCCTTTGTGGTTTTTGGTACCTGGGAGGGTGACTTGAAAAAGCAGCGAAGTCATGCAACAGAGCTTGGAAGGGAACTGAGACCTCCTTCCGTGACAGATCCATGAGATCAAGCACTCTGATCATAAAGCAAAACGCAAATGCAAGAATAAATAAACCTTTCTTAATCCGATCAACCTGGTTATTCTTGAATCCCATAAAATAACTGCCAGTGGGGTTGCTTGAGAAGAGGTTGCCGTAAACATGACTTGTAAGGAGGGGACATCCAAACTTTGCGCAACCCAGTGATTGCATTGGCGGTTTTCCAGGATCCCCACGGGCTGCTGCTAATTGGCATAAAATTAAGCAGGTTGCAGCCACCCTCATCTTTAATACAAAGAGAGGGCCCCTGGGAGGCTACAGGTTCCAGCGTGTGGCCACTCACATCATGAAGGAGCACAGCACGCCGGGACTTGTAGTCTCCTCAGGCCTTGTTGACAGAAGTCTGGGGAAGCTGCAGGCCACATGGGACCCCTTTGCAATGGTTTGACCACCCACTTTCCAAAAAAAAAAAAATCAGATATGGTTTTGGTTAAGTTCATGGACTGTTAATCAGCATTCACGAGATTTAAAAATAAAAAAAAAACAACAAACATCATTTCCTCCGTCTCTTCTCCTCCCAGAAGCAGACTACTGGTAGAAACCAAAGCTGGAAAAAATAGTTGAAAGTCAGCTAAAGTCACCTTGGTAACTGCAGCAATACACTTGCCCAGAACAGGAGACATCAAACCCAACTACAAACAGCTTTAAGGAAACAAAAAGAATGTAATCATCTAAAGAATTAATCTGACAACTGCCCACGTTTACACCTCCCACAAGCTTCCAATCAGAGGGAAATGCGCTTTAATCTCCTCCAACTCCCCTCCAGTTTCACAAAACACGAGATGTGCAGCCCTTAAACTGGGGCATTTCCGGCATTCTGCTTCCATTTAAATCTGCTGCCTTTCCTAATGCAGCAGCCCTGGCTTTTGCAGACTTGTTTTTTCTGGACACTGAGAAACATGAAGGTTTTTTTTGTGGGGGTTGGATGAAGTATTAAATCTGGAATAGACAAAGTTTGCAACATTTTACGTGATAGTCAGCTAGATCTTAGTCATAACAAATAAAACTCCGCTGGCTTTTGCTGCTGATTTATTTGGTGATGGGGTGGAGGAAGCAAAGGCTTACGGGTAACTGACAGTCATAAAACCAAGGATGTTAGTCTTAGAAAGCAAACTTTTTCTACATTTTCTTCTGAGGCTGAAAGCTACAAGCTGTGGATGGCAGCGTGTGTTACAACATGAACTTTTTATTAATAATAACCTAGAAGTCCTGATGACCCTTCATCTGGGCCATCAGCCTTTGGAAGGGTCAGCACAAGGATTTCCATTCCCAAAGGGAGAATTTTAATGGGTCTCGCTGAGTTCCTGTGTCATGCGACATGTTCCAGAGTCTGAAAGTGATAGCACCGTGGCCTTATGTTATGCGCAGTCCACGTGTCCAGAAGTGCCCACCACACAAAACTCTGGTTTAGAAAAGTATAGCTTAGAGAGAGGGTTATTTGTTTTTTGCTATTGGAGTTTTGCCTTGAACTTTAAATAGCTGAAATTGTGTGAGCTCCACTAAAGGGAAACAAGAAACACAGACCGTGACTATTTTGGAAAAGTTTTGTGGAAAGGATTAATAATTTCGTGTCATTCAAAGTATTAACTACCATTTTGCTTCACTCCTTCACCTTTTTGACAGAAAGGCTGGTTACTTATTAATGTGAAGTCATAATTATTGACAGCCTTAAAGTCATGACAGTTCCGTTTGATAGTTACACATTAGTCAACATCTTCTCTTGAGCGTGTAATGACAAACAGCATTTGCTGGTTTTAATAAGACTTAGAAAGCTTTGCCCCTTGCCTCCAGAATATTGTCGTCATTCCTATTATTGCATTAACATCCGGAGGCTGTTTCCCCTCAAGACCGCGGCCCCATTGTGCTAGCAGCTGTACTGGCTAGCGTGGTGGAAACCTAAAAACCCACCTACAGCTTGGGGGGTTTGGAGCCCAGGGGTATGGGGAACTGTCCTGCGGCTGTCTGTCCTTCTGAAGCATGAACATACAGCAGCGATTGCCTGGGTTTTGGGACGTGCCCGCCGCACTTAGGCAGTCCAGGTGAGAAGGGCAGAGTCTCTTGTCTGTAGCAATAACATTGCTGTAGAAATCCTGATCTGCTCCAGGGTACATAAACTCTGGGACTGCATTTAAGGAGTGCGAGCTTATGGCCTGCTTGAAAATCATGCGTTGCTAATGGCTGACCCTTTCGGTAGGGATTGATAAATGAATGATTGGAAGCGGTAGACCACAGGCTGACTTTCCCACAGCTCACTGTGTATATAAGATCTGATAAGGAAGTTGAGGCAAAGCTTAGCTTAAGGTCAACTGATCATTAATCAAATGTAACTGCACTTCTCAGGTAATCAGCCTGCAAAATGCTGGCCCACTCCACTCTTTGAAGACCCCACCTACAAAGAGCTGTAAAATGTTTGCTGAAGTAGATTAAACACAGCTCTAAGTGCCACCTATAGACTACAAAGCACGTTGTGTCTTTGCTTCAGGGTTAACCCACCAGGCTGACACTCTGCTGACTGTCAGTCCATCAGCCCACCCGGTGCAGAAGCTGTATCCTGACCTGCTGTGTCCTTACTGGGTCCATTACTGCTTTTGTGTTTTGCTGAGGCAGAACACAGGAGGCGTTTTACAGTTTTTACCTTGCAGGGAGCTGAGCTGCTCTGATTGCTTTTTTCCTGCATGTCTCTGACCTGGCCACGCAGAGTATTTTCAGGAAGGCACTGTGAGATATCAGAGTTTAGCTTGTATCCTCATTTCAGAGTGGGCAGCTTAGCAACCTCGGTGAAAGGCTCACCTGGGACTAGGTGACCTGGCAGAAGGAATAGGCTGATCTGCTTTGGAATCCACACTGAACTGTATTACTATGTGTGTGGTGGATGGGAGTAATTTTGGGACAGCACCCAAACGTAAAATCAAGTAGATGTGTGATCTAAGTCAGCTCGTGAGGGTCAAGCTGTTTCTTTACAATCATTTCCAGATGTACGTTAAAGGTGGCTCTGCTTGGGTGGAGGAAGGATCCAGGCTTGTTTTAACAGTGTTCCCAAATGCAGCCACAGCCTGATAGCCTTGTTTGGCTTTTGGTCTGTCTGGCATGATGGAATCCCATTGCAATGTGGCATCTTTCAGTTCCCTGATGCTTTCCCTGTCCCCCTTCTCCGGTGATTTTGTACTATAGAAACTATCTTAACAAAGTCTTACCTCTATTAAGTTCACGTGCAATGCCAGGTGACAAAAATATAAATCACATATCAGGCACATCACATCAGTCCATGTCATCTGCAAAAATTGTAACCAACCCCTGTCCTTCATTCTTTGTTCTGGACTATCAAGTAAGGGATAGTGCTGATGCTCTTTGAACATATAAAGTGTTTATGGTGAAGTATTTTGAGATATATTGGTTTGATTATCTAGGGGATTCTGTCTGGCAAAGTTCCTAATCATATAACAACATAACCTTTAGTCGTAGCTTCACAGTATGCTGGTCTTGCAGAAATGAATGAATAAGAAACCAAAGCTGCATTGTCTTAAAGCAGCCAGACTTACAAGGAAAAAAATTCTGCAGATGTCCTACTCATCACATGTAGAGTCCATCTTTTGGCTGTTGCACTCAATACTGGTGGAAGTGGAGGGTTCTCAAAACCTTTTGGTTGAACTGTGCAAAGAAATGATTTGGAGACAATTGTAAGGATGCCTCAGACCTCAAAGATAACTCGAGCAAGGGAACAAAGGGACTGGACAACACTTTCCTGCAGGCCACTGCCTAAAAAATCCTGAAGATAAAGCAAAAGCAGGAGGGAGGGCACACCTGGCAATTCTTCCAAGCCGATTTATAGTGGTTTGGGGGTTTGGAGAGTGTAGTTTTGCTTCAGTTCTTTCCAGAAATTTTACTTCGTGTATGCTGGGAAGAGATGCACCATGTGTGTGCACCAATTCAGATCCTGGGTTGTCAAATCAAGGTGAAGAGCTGCGTACTGGGACTGGTGGTCTGAGGGAGGCTGTCTCTCTGTAGGGGTGATGAAAACTCAGATGTGTCTTTGTAACAGTTTGCTCCTTTGTCCTTCAGTATTCACACAATCGTTCTGAAATGCAGCAGAAATAGCACAGAGCACTGGGATCCTAAATATATGTGCTTTGTCTCTTCTCTTAGAAGCCGTAAGGACAGTTTAGAAAGCGAGAGTTCAGCAGCTATCATTCCTCATGAGCTAATCCGCACGAGACAGCTGGAGAGCGTACACCTGAAATTTAACCAGGAGTCCGGAGCTCTCATTCCCCTCTGTCTAAGGTGAGTGAAGCCCTCCTCCTCCTCAGCTTGTGCTAACACGCCGCTTTTGCCTTGTGGCATTGTTTCACCATACAGACATGCATGCAATGGGTCTTTAAAGGCCAGAGATGAGATATTTTGCCAAAACACATTAGAAACAGATGATTCTTTGCATGTGTGTTCATCATGGTAAGATTGTTTCTCATTCTTTTTATGTCCTCCAGTGTATTTTGAGTGCTGAAACAGGACAGGGTTAGTATAGGGGTTTTTTATTAGTCTAATGCTGGCAACTCTGTGATAAAGAAGGGATGTCTTAACATATTCTGTCAAAGAAATCCCTTAAGTAGTTAATTCTGGCTTATGGACTCAGATACAAGTGGTTGTGCAAAGCCTGTTTGCAATCAGTTTATGCATGCAAGTGTGTTTTTAGACAAATTATGTCACTTACATGACTGAAGGAACAAAACATTATGCGCATACTCTACACATTGTCTTTTGAAGGTTCAGGCTGTACGTGCCACTGTAAGTGGCTTTTCTAGGTTTCCACAATTTCAGTCAGCACTATTTTTAAAAATACGCCTGCCAAATGTAGTCCTTAACATAAAGGTGAACTGTGGGGTAGAAACAAACGATTGCAGGTGACTGAGTTACTTTAGCTTAATGAGTTACGTATCTGTAGTATCAGAGTTAGCAGCAGCAGGTGCACGCTTCGCCTGTGCCTGTTGAGAAACCAATGGGATAGTTAACACGAACATATTTTATTTTACATCACAAATACGTGAGCAGTCTGTCCTGATCAGTTACCACAGCTCAGCTGACCAGCAGTAACTTGTCAAGCACCTGTGACTCTGTTAGGCACTATATATCTTACCTGAAGTTTTCCCCCTTGCATGTTGGAAGCCATGCACGTGTGTCACACATGCTCTGAGCCTAAATACCAGAGCCATGATTTTCTCTGTGGAAAGCATTGAATGAAAAAAAGGGAAGTGATACCGTAGATGGTCACATATGTATATTTTCTAGGCATTTGCTTAAGTAATACAGGTTACATTTGTCAAGCACCAGGGCAATGGATCACTAGGTATTGTTACAGCAGGTAAGATTGGCCCCACCGATGAGCCTGCTTAGAAATGCATCTTCATATTCCCACATGATGTGGAGTCTGGATTCTTTTCTGCAGCTTTCATCTTACTGAAAGACTGGCGGTCCCCTGCCCTTACATATATCGGCACCTCATCATGGGCATAGGCGTGCAGTGGGATTTAGATGCATTCTAGTTCTGTAACAAGGCCCTACGATTAAGGGGGGAGATAAGAAGGGGCTTCCTGCCTCAGACAAAGGCTTGCAACCTGCTTTGTGGAGCAAACCATTCCTATATTCCTGAAAAATTAATAGTTGCTGCCTTCAAGATGGTTTCTCATGCCGATGGCAGAAGCTATAGTGATATATCTTCATTATTGTGTCGAATGCTGCTCACACCCTCTCAGTTCACGCACATATGTTTTATTCCCCAGGGGAAGGCTCTTACATGGACGGCACTTTACATATAAAAGTATTACGGGGGATACAGCAATCACGTTTGTATCAACAGGAGTAGAAGGAGCCTTTGCTACAGAAGAGCACCCCTATGCAGCACACGGACCTTGGTTACAAGTGAGAGAGCCTCCTTCCTTTTTCTCCCCCTTCCTCCTTTACCGTGTCCTAAAAGTGATCCTGCTAAGGGCTTATGTGGTTTAAAAGTGTAACAAACATGTATTTTCTACTGCAACATCTCTCATAGTTCTTGCATAATATTTTCAGTAATTATAGACTCAAAAAATAATGGTGAACGGTTACTATTTATATTAGTGGAACTAAAATTGATAAGCAGTGGCTGAAAAGTTCAAAAATCATCTGTGAATACAGTAGTGTCCATTTCCTGGAGTCAGCGAACACTTTACAGGCTGTATTTACTCTTGATTTCTTCCAGAAAGGAATTTGGGGAGGCAGAGTGGAATGACCTAAACAAAAACGGAGCCAGGGCGGAAGAGCTAAGAAGCTGTGGGACTGTGATCCTACAGAGCCAAGATCTCAGTTTTACATCATACCTAACAGAAGAGCAGCACAGAAAGCACAGCTTCTTTCAGTTTTAGCTCTTTCCTATTGATTCTTTGACAAAAGCTTGCAGTTGCTTGAAGCACCCACACATTTTCTGCACCCAGACTTTTTCTGTCTCACAGATTTTCCTTGGCAACTCCCCATCTTCTTGGTGTTGAGGGTCAACCCTAAAGAGCAGTGATGCGCTAATGACTTGATGGTGTGGTGCTATTCGAACCTTGAATTTCTTCATGGTTATAAACATGTTGCGAAAAGAAAAGAGCTTTGGGGAATGTGTTTATACAGAAAAGCCCATCTCTGAGGGACTATATGCATGCAGTATGTCTCTGCCTTCACTGTTACTCTGGCATTCCT